GGGCCTGTTTGGCTCAAGGCGAACAGATGCCAAGACAGGACTGCACCAAAGGATGGCTGCTAGAGACGCATGAGCATTGATGTCAGCTTCAAACCTCACCTGTAGTACTCAGTAGACAGCATTGATTCTTGTCCAGCAGAGAGAAACAGAAGACGGAAAGACAGAAGCACAGCTATTGTTTATGTACAAGTCGTTTGAGGCAGATAAACTCATCGTCTGCGTGTGTGTCTGTTCCCCCCCCTGCGTTAAAAAAAAAAAAAAAAAAAAACCCGATTCTCTCCATTCATTAAGGCTCCACAGAAGGAGATTCCATTAATCTGTTCATTAGGCCACATCAAAAATGGAACTACTTATTAAAATCAGATCCAGCTGTGTACTCTCGTTAAAGCCCGCCGTACCGTACGAAGCTTAACAATGCTCGTGGCACTAGACCAAAACCCGGCCACAAGAAAGGGGGGAAAAGATTCTACTACATTGGCCTGTTTTGACTCAACACACCATGATAATTGCTCTACTCTTAGCAGGGGGCTATGAATAAACATTACTTTTGTCAGGGAGCGTCTGAATGCTCCATTTCCAATTAATTTACATTTGCCCAGAAATGGAGGGAATATCTGCTCTTAATCTCTATGTTTTATTTTCTCAATTTCCCCCAAGTCTTTTCTCATTCTCTCATTCCCTGTCTGGCACTTTCATTTGCCCCCCCACCCCCACACCCTCACTCTCTTTCTTTTTCTAACTCTCTCTCTGGAAAATCCCATTAATCTCAGCCAGTGGTTTTGAACAAAAGCTATGGGCTAAGCGATTGATCCGGGCATTGATCCCACTCGCCTGAACGATCATAAAGGTGTTAAATTGGTTTCTTGGAGGATATGTATTTTTCATTGCTGGCTGCTGCAAGTAGAAGTTCCTGCTTGGAATTTTTCTCTTTTTTTTTTTTTTTAACCAAACACTGGTGATAATATTAAAATATTAAATAGATCACACCTTGAAAAGTAGCATTAAATGTGGATTTTGAGGCCAGTTTGAAGTGATTTCTGGGGAGTGTTTTTTCTGCATGAGCATGAACCTTAGAAGCTAAATCCTTATAATGAGATTTACTCCGTCCAAGGACAGGTAAAAACTTGGGATTGTCAAAATGTGCACATTGGAAGCAAAAAAAGCAAACACCTTCATTGATATTGCTGTGAATTATTTCTTGAATTGTTACTGTAAAGCTAAATTCGTATTTTGAAAGGTTTTGACATGGATAAGTGTTGAAAGGCCTCTGTTTTGAGAGAGATAAACATTAATGTTCATCGGCGGCGCATGCAGTTGGTTTGATTGCAGTTTTACAGTGGCATACAAAGACGAACTGTATGGGTTATATTTCTGTATTTTCAAAGCAGCACAGGTGCTAAAAGACATCAGACCAGCGTGACAATTGTATTTATTCTAATGTAAGTGAGAAAGAAAAGTGTTTATTAAACTAAATGAATAGGCTGTATTCAATTTATTTATATTCATTATGTCTGTCTTTGATGACCTTCCTTGCTCTCTGATAGTTTTAATGAGGGCATTCGAATTTTGCTTTTTGTCCTATGCTTGAGGCTCCTCCGATATGGGACCACAAAAAAATACATGTATAGAAAGGAGGAGGAGGGAGAAAAAAAGAGGCCATGATACTGTCAAAACCCTTAGAAAAGGTCACTGAAGCTTTGTTTGTTATTTTGTCAGTTTTATGTTAGTAATCCATTGTTAGTCATAAAATGGCAAACAGTGATAACAGTGATAATAAGTGTGTTGTGTATCACCTAGAAAAATGGTGAGAAACAACAGCACAACAAGTTTGTTTCCTGAGTCAATGAGTCAACATTGCTGGAAACAGTAACAACTGGCAGTGTTATCTTGAGATAAGAATTAACCAACTAAATATGTCATCTGTTTTATTGCTCCTGTGTAGTTCAAACAAACTGCTTGTTTGAACTTTGTAGTGTCATGTTCTGAATAAATCAGTTTTAAAGATCAGCAATCAGCCACTGGCAATCAGCCAGTGTTTTACTGACTGTATCGTCTCTGCACGGAGATAGTGTTCAAGACTTGCCTGCACAACAACACAAGACGAATCGGTCGTCAACTCCATGTCAGAAAGTTCATATTATCTGAGCGAGCAGGCAGCAGATCTTGTAAAATCAGGCGCCATGAATGTTGCTCATTTGACAGAGCAAAGGAAGAGCTTGTCAGGGAAACAGCTCGTGTCGCTGGCACTTAAAAGGTCAGCAAACTGAACCCCAACCCCTGGCCTGCCCTCACGCCTGCCTGTCTGTCACCAGTCCCCCTCTTCCAGGCGGGTGTCCCCTGCCCTCGTCTAGGCTCCTATCAGCCGCCGTCATCCCCTCTGAGCTGCCCCTCTTTGATGACCCAGGCCTCTTGTCAGAGAAGAGCTTCCAGGCAGGCAGACTGAGGACAGCCCTTTGATGAGGACCCCGACACTTGCCAGCTTCACTGACATGCAGGGGGGGTTCTTTGAAGAGCCTGGGCCTTACATGTACCCATCCGTCCACACACACGCACATACACACACACACGGTTACATGTTCTTCCAGGGTCCTTAGATGGAGGGACGAAGAGAAGAGGATTGGGGCACAGCACAGAGAACTCCCTCCTTTGACTACCTTCCTTGCGCTCTGATGGTTTTAATGAAGGCATTTGAATTTTGCTTTCGTCCTGTGCTTGACACGCCTCCAGTATGGGACCACGAAAAATAGATGTATTAAAAGGAGGGGGAGGGAGACAAAAAAGAGGCCGTGATACTGTCAAAAATGTTTGAAAAGGTCACTGAAGCTTTGTTGTATTGTGTCAGATTTTCCACTGATAAAAGAGAAATGGGAGATGTGGGACATTCCAAGACTACGTTTGGGATTTGTTGCTGCATAATCTCACTACACCATTCCTTTATCATATTCTAGGAACAATTTATTTCAGTGCAGGCATGACAGAGGCATGGCGGTTGGGTACGCAAAACCACTTTCCTACATATTGGGTTTTAATAGTCAGAAGAAAAGCAAAAGAAGTATTTAAAAGGAAAAAATAAACTGCTACCAAATGGCAGCTGTGGCCAAAGACAGCCAAAGTCATGCATCCTCAAGTGTTCATGTCCTCCAACTGTGTGTATGATCTGGCTTCACTGCGTCAGTGTTATGGCACAGTATTGGGTTATAGATATGGGATCAACACTGATTCTTAACAGCACTGTTTTTACCCCAGTTACGTCCAAACCAATCATAACAACAAGCAACAGACTTGGCCGCAGCCAGTGCCGTGTCATACAAGGTAATAAAGCGTTTGATGCTTGTTGGCAGAGCTAGAGTTGTTGACAACAAATTAGTGCCTGGGGTCACTGCAGATTTTGACAAATGAATCCCTGTACAATATCCAGACAGCACGAAAAAGAAATTCCTTTCAGCAGTGTTCACGCTGCACCTGCCTGTGTCACAACATCGATCCACATTCTTCACCCTGCGAGTTGTGGTTGACATTGGCGATGAACGTCACAGACCGTTCTCACAGACTCGAAGCAACAAAGTAATTCACATCACCACAAAACCGCAGTGTGCCCAGAAAGACACATCGTTCCCAAAGATACCACAAAGAGCACAATGTTTGTTGACAGAAAAAAAAGGGGGAAAGAGAGGAGAAAGAGCCTCTCATACATTTTCCTCATTCCTTCCTTCTCAATGTGGCCTTTTTTTGTGAGCGTGGCTATGTGGAGTAATGATTAACACAGCCAGGCATGGGAAGAGAGTAGCGGTTACAATAGAGGGGGTTGTTTCTGGTGCACAAACCAACCGTTTCACCTGTGTCAGCTTCCCAAGCTCACCTGGCAGGTCCCTGGGAGCCAGCGGCTGGCATTCAGGACGGGGGGGGGGGCTACTTAATCATTATCATCTGTGGAATCACTCAGAAACTGCTGGCAATTGGCAAACAGATAAAGCTGGCAACATTGTTAAATCAAGCACGTAGCAAAGTGCTTAACTGAGTGTGGAAAGGTTCACATGAGAAAGCTTTAGAGTGTGTACAGGGGACTTTTGAGCTTTGTGTAAGGTTGAAAAAAACAATGCCCATGGTGTGCATCTGATCAATAGCGATTGACCTGTGAGCAAGCTTACCTTGCAAACAGCTGCCTGTGATATTTTCAAGCTCCTGAGGCTGACACTGTGCCTCAACTTTTTATTTTGAGGAAGGGACACTTGACTTTATCCTTTGTGGTTGAACTGGAGACTTTTAAAGCTTAGGCTATACACAGTATAACAAGACATAACTGCTGTAACAAAATTAACTTTTATTTCTTCAAGGATATCCGTCTATTACCAGCATTCAAAACTAAATATTCAGAATGATTTTATCCACCACGTAGACTACATTACATGTAAAGAGATTGGAGATGTTGATGTTGATGCAGCAACAAATCAGCAGTTTGCATAGTAGCGAAGTACATATACACTAGTTTCCCATTTACAATCAGTCCAAGGTCAGGTAAGCTTATAAACATACATTTTTAATATTTCCAAATGAAGCCACTGGCTGGAAACCAGAAAAAAAAAAAAAAAATTGAGAATTGGTGTGCAGCACTCGTCCCTGTGTTGATATATGTTGATGTCAAACCGGTCACCAAAGCAACTAGCCTGATAACCCATTGCAGCATTCATTGAACAGCCATAAACATAAGTTGAATGACTGGTCTTACCTTTAACAGACTTTTCTTGCTCAATAGCCTGTGTCACAAAAACAACTCTCCATGTTGATCCTCTCATAAGCTTTCACCTGCATGTATGCACAACTCACACAGAAACTCATCTGTACAGACAAACTTTACCTTCTACAGGGGCTGACACAAAATAAAAAAGGGCAAGCAACTATCTGCAGCGACGACAGCACATATTACTTAACAGGAAGTGTCGTTACGGCTGTGTAGGAGGAGAAAATCAAATAGTTGAACTGATGTTTTTGTTTGTGACTAGGTGGACGACCAGATGAAGCTGCTCCAGAACTGCTGGAGTGAACTCCTCATCCTCGACCACGTCTTCCGGCAGGTGGTGCACGCCAAGGAGGGCTCTATCCTATTGGTCACCGGACAGCAGGTGAGTTGGTTAAACTTCACCCTGGAAACTACCTCCACCGTTTCCTTTTTTTCCTCCTACAACCCTGCCGACCGTGCATCAGCTGCTCCTCAGGGGACCCGCTACATCTCAACAGTTCCCTTAAAGCGTTATTGATCACTCAGCCGCACAGGAGTCCCTGCCTCATTAAAAATAGATTATGTTTATAGATATAAACTAATGTCACCAGGAGAATCAATTTTGCATTTTTTTTTTTTTTTATCTCAGTAAATGAAGACTCCGGCATGTAGGTAAATAAAGCACTTAGTTACGCAGACTGCAACATAGTGAGTAGGTTGGCAGATTAAAGAAAATGTGGCTAAGTGTGGTATTTTGTTTTACTGGAGCCTTTAAGGAAGTTGGGGGGAGCTGATGCCAGAGGCCCAAATGGCTCCCATACTCACTGTATCAGGATGGTGTGGTTCTGTTTTTGCTTCATACACACACAAGCCCAAAGCAACAGAGACAACAAAAACTGAATGTATGTGCGTGCATTATCTCATGCACACACATAGGAAAGATAGAATAATGCACCTCCAAATAAAAAGAGTACACATGCACATGCACATTTACAGGCAAGACTACAAACAAAGACATGACACTTCCCATCATGAATAGGCCTCTGACCAGTGGTGTGGCTGTCAGTGAGATGAAAAGTCATTAATTATTGATTGGCTGGCTCCCCAAAACATTGCTCTTAAACAAAATCTTTTACAACAATAGATAGCGGATTAAATATTGGAGCAAGTGCACTGAGTACAAGCAAGGAATGGAAGAGGGAAGAAGGAAGAGCCAAAGAGAAGGAGAGATGTTTGGGTAACAGGTGGTGGAGAGTGGGAGAAATGGTGGAGGAGGAAGTCAGACAGAAGTGGAAGAGGATGGTTGCCCAATAATCGCAGGAGGAAAGGAAGGGGATGGAGAGAAGAGATGTGGGAGTGAAGGAAATCGATTGAGGCAGAGGACAAAGGACAAGAAGTGGTAATGACAGGGAGGAAGGAGGAAAATATAAGAGGAGAGATGGAGGACTGACTAAGGGACAGTGGCAGGGAGAAGAGGAAGAACTGACAAAGAGGTCTGTAGAGAAAAGAGAAGGAAGAAAGGAGGAAGAAAGGAGGAAGAAGGAAAGGCAGAGAAGGAGTGAGGAAAGAGAAGGAGAAAGAATGGCAAAAAGGAAAAGGCGAAGAAGGCAATGGTGGTCGACCTACATGAAAGAAAAAAGAACATAGAAAGAATCGTATGAGAGAAAGAGATGGAGGTATGTGAAGGGAGAAGGAAGAAGGAGGAGGAAGAAGAAGGGATCAGGGAGGAGGTGATGAGGCGAAGAGGAGAGGGCAGTTTGAAGAGACTAGAGCAGTAAGAAGAAGGAGGAGGAGGGGCTGATAGTCAGGGGAGGTGCAGGACGGCGGTTTCGTTTGCATACTTTGGTTAATGAACAGCTGGTGTTTGGGGGGGCAGTGGGGAATGTGTGTGTGTGTGTGTGAGAGAGAGAGGGAGAGGGAGAGAGAGAGGCTCTGAAACAGTTCATTATCTCCTATTATTCTCTGCCTGGCCAGGGGTGACAGCACAGTGATAACACCAGGGATATTTAGACCACAGTAGCAGCATCACCCAAAGCAAATGCCACACGCATGCACGCACACACGCACACGCACACACCACATAATGACTGCTCGGGCCAACATACTGCACTGTAATAACTTAATTGTTACAATATGCTAATCATATTGGTGTATATGATGTTACATATTGTCCTGAAAAAATATACTATAATAATACATTATAATATTATTTTTTCACTCCCAGCCATTTTCTTGGATAATTGTACTGAAGTTTTTGCGATTTTCTACTTTTCATTTCATTCATTTTCCGCTCAAGCTCAGAGAGAGGGATTGAACTTTATTCTGCGGGTTAAGACAGATATCCTTGTACTTTAACCGTCAAAAAGTTTGAGCTCAAAAGATTGACAGTGTGGCTGTACCACATGACTTAAATAACTTACCAGGCCCAGTAAGAAAAGGCATGACTCAGTGTGTTCTTATGTTTTAAAGTTAAAGTTAAAGAGCCACAATCATGGTAGAAAAGTCTCTTACAGCTGTAGCAGTTTAATACGTGCTTCACAGATAAAAATCAAAAGACTTTGAGCCTTCAAACAATGTATAATTTGTCAAGGTTGTGTGATGACTGAAAACACACCTAAAATAGCACGACCAAGTATATTTGTTAATCATTTTTTGATCAATTACAAAAAGGCAATTTTTCTATCATAAAAGTTGAAGTTGACAAAGTTTGCATTGGGAACCACTGACCACTGATGTCCTCACATTGGCAGATATTTTCACGTCTTTTTAGAAAAATATGACATGAAGAGAGAGGATTTGTTCAGATGGAGAGTTTAGACAGATGTTTCTCCCCTTTTGCTTTGAATCAAGCTGCTCTCGTCAGTCATATGCTGCACTCATACTGACCTTTGAAAAGAAATCCATGGTAGCAGCAGATTTACTGTTATAGCCTGTCATTTGCTCTCTGTCTTGCTCATTCTCTTGCCCTTATGTTGCTTGCTAATTCCTGTCTTTTTCAAATTTCTCTGGTTTTCGTTTTCTGTACTGCTGCATATCATCATGTCACCAAAAGCAGTGAGAAATGGCCATGAGTGTTTTTTTTTTCAGTTTTGGGTTGAAGTGAAGAAAGGAGGCTTGTTCTCTATCCTGTCATACGACCAAATGCAAAGTGGAACTTGTCAAAATGCATGCAAACATGAAATGACAAAGACCGGACTGAGCTGCTGAATGATTAAACAAGGCCTCGCAGCTTTGCAACCAGTTTTCAGTATGAAAATCCTGATATTTTGATAGCACAACGCTCCTGGTGTACATGAAATTCAAATGATGAAGAAATGCAAAAACAGACGTTCCTCAGCCAGCCGCAGATTTCTGTGCTTTCAAACAAGGTACATTTTCTACACACATCAAACCCCTGTACGCATCAAACCGATCTCACCTTCCACACTCATCTTTAATGTTCAGCTAAGATCGTTCATCGTATTCATGATGGGTTAAGATTTGAAGGTTTATTCATATATTTACTCTATGTCTCTCCAGGAGGGATAATAAAGTAGTATTGATTGATTGATTGATACACAGGTCACCAGGGTTAGTGCTAAGTCTGCTATAGCGACATTATAGCGTTTTTTTCCTTCTCTCTTTTTACTTAGGGCTAGGAAGCAATAACCCAAGGCATCACTATCAACAGTCCAATCCTTCAATGAAGTTATTTCATGCACAGTTGATTTTATGTAAATTGATTGACATCTTGGAAGGGGGGCAGTGTCTGCTTCTCACAGAGTCATAACTCTTACCGTCTCGAAGGTGGCAAGAGCGAAAGAGAGTGGGACAAAGGAGTTAAAGTAGAGAGGTAGAGTAGTATATTAAGAATGGTGTAGTAAAAGAAAAAGGCAAGAAAGGGAGGAAAGAGGACAAAAAAGAGAGATGAAAAACATGGTGCATTGTTAACATTTACTCTGACCCCTCTTCAGACAGATGAAAAACAGGCTCCAATCATCCTATTTACACGATAAATAAATTCCAAATCCAGGCTGTTTTTAATTGCAAATGGGAGCTCGCAGGGACCTTCTTCCTCCCTGAGCTTTAGGAACTGCGCACGCCAACATCTACCTTCCCCTGGAAACCCTCACGCAGTCAATTATGGTAATGAATTGTCAATAAATATAAAAATTTAATATGGTCCTCCTTACTGTGAGTGGCAGCTGAGGACTTGCCTCCAAGACAAATGTGCTGCGGCTGCAGTTATGAGGTGTACCTGGAAAAAGGTGTGTGTGTATGTATGTGTTTGAACGAGTGAAAGGGTCAGAACTAAAGGAGATGGGTTTATCAGACATCTATCTATCTATCTATCTATCTATCTATCTATCTATCTATCTATCTATCTATCTATTTATCTATCTATCTGTGTTTTGTATCATGCCTCAGCATGTTTCTGGTTTACTGTAGAACAGAAAAGAAAAGAAAGAGAGAAGTCAAATCTGGCAGGTCTAGTTAGTCGGATGTGAACTCTCATGCTCTCTCCATATGCCCACAGCATGTTGTCACAAAATACAGTTAAACTGGAAAAAAAATCTTCTGCCTGCATCTGCTGTTTTAAAACATCCACCAGTGTCTCACTCTCTGACAGACAGACCAAAGCTGTCTGGGAAGTCTAATATGTATTAAGTCTGCTGCAGCTACACATAATGTTATCTTTATAGCAGGATAGCCTAGCTACCCTACACATTGCTGACGTATGAATATTGAATGCAACTTGGATGAGTCAATGAAAATCTGTGGCATTGTATTAGACTATACTGATGGTCAAAAACTCCACAGAGTATCTTTCATCCAGGGGTGTTTCTGGCCTCGGCGCTTGTGCTTGAACACAGTCTTACTTCCGTTTCTCTCCCTGCTTATTCTAGGTGGACTATGCAGTGATTGCTTCGCAGGCAGGAGCCACCCTCAACAACCTGTTGAGCCACGCCCAGGAGCTAGTGGCCAAGTTGCGCTCCCTGCAGCTAGACCAGCGGGAGTTTGTCTGCCTCAAGTTCCTGGTCCTCTTCAGCCTGGGTGAGTCTCTAAAGCTCTAATGTTTTGGGTTTTTTTTTTTTTTGGAGGAAGGGAGGGGGTACCTTTCCAGGAATCAATTTAGTTATTAATTTAAATGCAATTTAAATGCTTTAAGAGAGGATGAAGATGTGGTACTTGTAAAAGATCTATAGGAGGGAGGGGCATTAGGAGGAAAGGGGGGGGGGGCTGTAGGAGGGAGGGGAGGAAGGAAAGGACCAGTGGTCTGGGAGGGACAAAAGAGAAAGTGAGGGAGGAAGGAAGTGAGGGAGGTAACTCACTTGGTTCTTCTGCGAGGTTTACAAACTACTATTGAGAGAGGGGTAGCTATGTCAGTATGAGTTGGTCTAAAATTAATATGAATCATTTACGTTTTTGGAATTTAGCATCCATTTCTGGAATAAGCATCAATCCCTGGATCAATAACATTAGATGTAATGAATCATAATGTTTGTAGGATGTATGATCATACAGTATGACTGGGAACCATGAACTGAGTAAGTCAGCTGGAAACAAGGGAGGACAAGAGCTGGGTGGTTGAAAGTAAGTGCATGAGACATTGAGGTTGGGGAAATGGAACGGAAAGGGAGTGAATTTCTTTTTTTTTCTTTCAAAGGCGATTTTTAGGTTTTCTCTCTCAGATTGAGTTTTGGAGGGTCAGACGGGAAAGGAGGGGAATTGGAGGGCACAGAGATCAACTGAGGAGGGGAGAAGGGAGGAAGGAAAGAAGGAGAAGGAGGAGATAGGAGGATGTTGAAGTGGGAGAGAGTGGGAATTGGTGGGAGGCAGGTATCGCAAAGCATTTGAGATAGAAAGGTGGGAGGGAGCCGAGCCCATGGGATTAGGAAGGGAGGGAAGTGGAAGGGATAAGTAGCTAAATGAGTTAAGGGATGAAGAGAATGGTAACATTCATATGTGTGTGTGTGTGTGTGTGTGTTCAGATCTCAAATCTGCTCTCTACTCTCTAAACCGAGGTCAGACATTGCCAGGAGACTGTCATCTCTGTCTCTTTCCTAACAAGTCTCCAACAAATGGCCTCTGAGGGATATACACACACACACACACACACACACACACACACACACACACACACACACACGCGCGTGCATGCTCAATTTTAACATTCTGCATTACTGAAGCCAATGATGTCCAGGTAGTTTCACTCAGCCTGTCCCCACTCTGGCACTGTGAGCAGCAACAGTAGCATACATATGATGAATATTTTCTTTGGCTACCCCTCCCTCCATCCATCTGTAATCCACAAGGGTCACACTTTCACTTCCTTACTGCCTCTAAACAAAGAAAGAGGGACTAATGAACTGCTGGCAAAAGTGCGCACACACAGACACACACCGAGGTAATCAGGCAGGATTAATGTTTGTGTTAGTGTTGTTTGTGGTACAGCGAAGAAAAAGGGGAGGGATGGGATGGATTTCAGTGGGGCTTTGGAGTGTGTATGTCTGTGTGCATGGATGCGTTTTGTTTGTGTGGGGTGGGGGTGTTGCTGGGGCTCAGGGTCTAAATAATTTGGCAGAAACATCATCCATAATGAAAGGCTCACCTGAGGGATATGTATCGCCCCCGGCAGTGCCTGTTCTCCGGCGTTGCCCGGGCCTCCTCCTGCAAAAGAAGCCCGACACGGATGCCGTAGAGCTGGCTGAGGGGATCAGTGCTGGAGAAGGTGGAGGTGATGCCGGTGGCGGGGAGGGAGGATGAGGGATAGGGAGGGGCTTGAGCAACGTAAAGCCGGGAGATTTAGAAATGATTTAATTAATATAACACACAGCTGAACAGAGACATGTGTGTGCGTATGTATGTGTGTGTGTGTGTGTGTGTGTGTGTGTGTGTGTGTGTGTGATTGGCCGTGACAGGGATGTGATACATACGTTTACCTGAGGGATGTGCATAATGTGCGTGGCAGTGGGAAAGCAGGTGTGTATTCATGCATCTGTGTGTATGTTTAGAAAGCTGCCTGTGCCCAACAAGCAGAGCCAATTAATAAGGATTGTAGTGAAATGAGGCATGAAAGTAGCTCTGCACTGACTGCTCAACTAAAAGATTAAACGCTCCCTCTTTATTAGCTTTATTGCATCCCTAACACTGGTTTACTGCACTCTTAGTTGAAGCTAATACACAGTGAATGGGTGTAATCATTATGACAGGTTTGATACTGGAAACTAACTGTTGTCGCCTTACTTATTGTGACAATGCTACTTTTGTCACAGATACTGCTTGAATATGAGAACATCACTCTGATGAGTGACTTAACGGACTTAACATTCACTTCCTCGTTAACTAAATGCTTTAAGCCATACGTAGCCATAGTTTTATTTGGCATAAGAATGATCTTACCATAACTTTGACTGTACTGTAGCTGCCATGATTTTAAAAACATTGGCACTGGACATATTCTGGGGTTTTGCAGAATTATTTAATATTGATGCTCCTGTCTGGCAACACAATTGTATCACTAATACCATACTATGACTGCACTCAAAGTATTACTAGTACCCCTATTAAAACTAGCTCTCCCATGAGACTCATGGAGGTAGTGATGCAGTCTGTATTCATTCCTCTTGCCCCCGGCCTCTTTCTCTTCTCCTATCATTCTGTGTGTGTCTTCCTTTTTCTCAATATTTCTCCCTCTATCTTCAAACCTCTCCTTCTCTATCTCTCCTTCTGTGGATGGACAATCAGTCACCTCCTACCTGCCAGAAGAGCTCTTAGTTAATCCAGTTGTCGATAAAGACAGGGATATAGATGTCACTCCAGCTGAGGGGAGACACTTGTCTTCAAACCTTTATTTTTATATTTTCTTTCCCCCTCTCTTTCTATAACTTTCTCTATCTGTCCCCTGTCTTAAGTGAAGTCTTTCACCCTCTATCAAGGAGGAGATTATCATTCTTAGAGCATTGATCTCTTAAGTGTTTGTAGGACTGTGAGGAATGGTTGTGTGTTGAGCAAGAGACACACAAAATGGCAGAGAGAGAGAGAGTGAGTGGTGCTTGGGTCAGAGTTCAGGAAAGGATTACTACGAGTTGTTGACTGGTGTCGGACCACTGTTAATGGCTCTTTGATTTTCTTTAAAAGGCTCAAAGGCCTAATAGAAAGACTGACAGGTTGTTGTATATGACCAGGTGACAGATCAGCACCAGAGGTAAGGAATGGGTCACAAGTTCAAACTCAGGCTGAGAAAAGTGAAAAAAGGGCTCTCTTCTTCCAAATTTTAGGCGGGGTTGACTCCCAACTGCACTGATGGATATACTGAGTAGAAATCTGAGTTAGTACTTGGCAGTTCCCAGCTATGAAGTTATAGAGGAAAGGCATTTTATTTCAAATACCAAGGAGAAAGGTGTGCTTCCTGAAAGGAGCAACATCCTTGATATTGTGTGGCTCAAAACCAGCTCAAACCCTCTAAAAGCTTTACTTGTAAGTGGAAAAAATAAAATAACAAGATTTATTGATCAACTTTAACAAAAAAAAAAAAAAAATCATGCACATGTGCGCGTGACGCATGCCAGCGCGAAGTCAGTTTCCATATTAGTGAACCAGACTCGGTGACAGAGGTCAGACTGTGTTCAGCCAGCAGCCAGTTAACCCAGCTCAGCAGGTCAAACCCCGTCAGGTGTAATTGGGTGAGACAGGTGCTGCCAGTCCTTGTAAGCTGAGAGGAGAACCAGAGTCGCTGCCAGACCAGCGTGGGGTGGTAAATGCTCCCAGCGGAGAGAGCAGATTTGTGGACATAGCCCTAAATAATGTCCCAGCATCGGGGCCTTTAGCAGAAACAAAGCCAGTGACAAGCTGATAAAGAAGAGAATTTAAGTTCATGTTTGATTTGTGCTCTGTGTAGGGACAGTGACAGTCAAACCCCTATATAGACTGATTTAAAGAAGTCACATTGGGAGTTTGATAAACTATGAATATGTCAAATGTATAATTATTATTATACATTAATTGGATGGATTCCATCTTAAGCCTCGAACCCAAAACTCTGGCAATACACTGATCGATAAAGTCCATCTGCTTACACCGGCATTCATGTGACTTATTTAATTTCTTGATCAAGTAAAGCTGCAAATGAAAGTTATTTGGATATGACGATGGATTAATCTGATCTGAACTGATTTAGTTTTTAGTTAGAAAAAATGTCATAAAATAGAAAGAATACAAAGTAACCAAGCAGATATTAACATATGAGAGGCTGGAGCCAATGAAAGTTTTGCATTTTTGTTTAGAAAATGATTGATTAAATATCCTTTCTGCTATTAAATATAAGGATAGAAAATGTTCACATTTTTTCTCTCAGGGAAAATGACACCTTGATACCTGAAGCTGTTTGGTTATGTTAATACAATATGACTCTTTTCACATCCAATTAATGCAATGAAGTAAATACTAAAACATGCTGAAATGATGTTTAACGCCGGCCCCAGCTCATTGATCAGAGATCAGTGTCCATTCATTAAAACCAAGACAGCCAGTCATTCAAGAGCTGCCTCAGCACCACATTAACTGTCTGTCAAGTGATTAGTCAGGCTCTGAGGCTGGAGTTTAGAGACTCACACCCACCCATCCATCCCTCACCATCCATTCAGCCCTCTGCTTTGTCTCTTCTCTCATTGCTCTGCCCTTTCGCTCTCTCTCTCTCTTTTTTTTTTCACATCCATCTTTGTACAACTCGATCTATCACAACTCCATCCTCACATCCACCTCTATCGCTCCTCGTTTATCTTCACCCACATCTCAACTGCCATTTATCTCTTTTCCTCCCTCACTCAGTGTTTTTTTTTTCCCAACCCTACTTAAAATGTCTTAACTACAGTCATTTAAACTTGTATTGTAATTAAAAGAAGTGAAATGATGTCATGAAATCATGTCCCCGCTTCCCCTTATTTCCAGTAGTGGTCAAATAAAGGTGAGCTTACCTCAGCTACCACATGGAAAGATGATGCATAGATAGACCGACCAATATCTATCTTATCTATCTAACAATCTTGATTCTA